AACAACAACAACTAATGTTGAAAAAGTTTTATCAACAACAAAATCATCAGTATGAACGTTTAAAGATAAATATTGTGCATATTTTCTTAAAAAAAAAATAAAATTGATTAATAATCGATTTTTGTTAAACATTGCAAGTTGTATTAAAAACAAAGTAGCCAGGAAATAAATTTTTCTTGTACTAAAGTAGTTACCATAAATGAAAGATCTGTCTTAAGTAACGACGATATATTTCTTTCATTTTGATCATAATAATTTTTATGGATGTGGATTAATTTTAGCTTGATTTGAACATACACTGACGCACACCCACCCTATTCCCTAGAAAAAAATGTGAACCATGCGAAGTCTGGTGAATGTAGAAGTCGTTGAATCGAACAATATCTTTGAATCTACACACATGAGGAAAAATTTGTTTTTCATCGTGAATATATGAATTAACCCTATTTGATTATACTCTTTTCTGTGTCAGATTTGCCTATTGATAAAACTATTTGAATTCTAATATTGTTAAGCAGATACATTTTGTTCGAAATATGATTAATAAAACTTTAAGAAGCATCTAATAAAATCATGAAAATTTAAATGCAATTGCTTAAACTGTTAAAGAGATATTTATGTTTATTTTTCGTTTGGACTTTTGAAACATCTTGTAGTTTTTAACTAGAAATCAATAAAAACATAAATGTATATGTTTTAATTATTTCAATATGAGTAACAAAGTAAAACTAGATAATGTTACTTAATGTTATCACTGATAACCTTGTAAAAATGACGTCAGAATATTTATTCTTTTTACATTTCATCAGCTACTTTTTATCATTATAGTAAGTATAAAAACATTATCTTCATAAGAATAATAGAATACAATCAATAAATAATGAGTTCTAGTTCTGATGAAAAGAAAACTATTTTAATTATTGGAGCTGGTCTAGGTGGTTTAGCTCTTGCTCAATTATTACAACAAGAATTATCTTCTTCTATTAAAGTAATTGTATTTGAACGTGATGCTGATGAAGATTTTCGTGATCAAGGTTACTTTATCACAATTAATCAAATGGGTAATGATGTACTCAAACGTATCTCATCAGTTGATGATGTTTTTTCTCATCCATCAACTATGTCTTACAGTCAACATCAATTGAAATTAGTAGATAAATCTATGAATATCATGCTTGAACAGACTTCAGGTGAAATAAAAATTATAGAACGAGGCATTTTACGACGAAGTCTTCTTAAAAATATTGATGTTCAATGGAATAAACGATTTGTTTCATATAAAATTCTCGATGATGGTGTTGAAATTCATTTTGAAGATGATTCAAGTGTACAAGGTACATTACTTGTTGGCTGTGATGGAGCCAAATCACTTGTACGAACTCAACTTATACCAGATTTACAACGAAATGAAACAGGCGTTGTTTTTGTATCAGGTACTATTGAACAAAATGAAGAATTATCAAAAATTAAACAATTAGTATCGAATAGTCTTGTACAAATACTTGGTGATCAAGGACATTCATTGTTCTTAATTTCTACTGGACAATTATGGCTTTGGTCTCTTTCATGGCCAAGTACAAATAGAATAGAAACAGAAATTTCATTAACACAGTTACTTGATAAAGTTCATACTAATTTTAATAATGAAGAATTTATTCGTTTAATAGAATTATCTTCATCAATACGTCTCGATATATTACCTGTTTATTCTTTTCCACTTTTAAAAATTAATCCATATCCAAATAATTCTCGAGTAACATTACTTGGTGATGCTGCTCATGTAATGACTCCTCATCGTGGAATGGGTGCAAATACAGCTTTTGCTGATGCATTCGATCTTATTGATGTAATACGTTCTGATCATACTAAATCTTCTCTTGCTGATTATGAAGAGAAAATGTTTAAACGTGGTTTTCAAGCTATTCAAGATTCTCTTGAAAGTACTCGTATGGCACATATGTTAGGTGTATCAGCTCGAATACGTAACTATATTATGTGGTTATTACATTATTCTATAACATTAAAAAATTTAATTTCAATGCCATTTTATTGGTATTGGAATAGAACAAACTAAGATTTGATTATTTTGTATTGTAACTATTTATTATTGTGAATAAAATAAAAGTTTTTGTAAAGAAATTCTTAAATACTCAGATCAAGAAATACGGGCCGATTTCGATAGGAAAATACCGGAAATTGATGGACATTGGAAGCCGTATTTCGGACCGGAAAGTTTTCGAATTTTCAGATGCGGAATACTACCTCCATGTTCCATTGACTATCGGTAGTTTCCTATTGGATACGATGATTTTTTCGGCTGATTTCTGCAAAATTTGATTGTTTCTGGAGCTCGAAATCATTGATCTGAGTACGAGAGTTGAGGAACAAGGAATTCTAGAGATGTTTTATGTTTAAATAATTTTGCAATGATTACGATTTATAGTAGAGGATTTAGAAGTTTTTGTATAATTTCTAAAGAGTAGAAACTGACATGACGTTTTAAAAATGTGCATTTTATTAAAATACGATAATGTGACAAATAACGTTTAGTTTCTTTTCTTTTCTAATATAAGGTTTTTTCTTAATTGTTGACGATGAAAATGAAGATGATCCGTAGGTAGAGTGTGGATGAACAGAACATTCACACTCACACCCATTTGAAATAAGTCTATACTCACAATAAACTCATTTTATTTAACTCATCAAGCATTACAAAATGTGTCAATACACTTTTGTTATATGAGTTCTATAGAATAGATGATGGTGTTCAACGACAATAATTATTGATAGTTGCTGATGCTTGTGATTTTTAGTATTATTTTCAACTTGATGTCGATAGACTAAACGTATCGAGATATACGATTTTGCACAGGTGAAGACGATGAACAAAATCACCCTATTAGGTATGGACTTATTTCAAGTTATAACTGAAATACTTGAATTTGTGCAAATTCAAATTTAGAAATAATTAACACGAAATCGATGTCATATCAGTGTACATACGTCTAGTTAAATTTTGTTAAATAAATCTACTATTATGATTCTATTAATATGATGTTGTTGTGTATACGTAAGTGTTAATAAATGAGACACTATTTATATTCAGAAACATTAGCGTAATAAATCTATGAACAAAAATCAGCGAAAGAATTCTCCAGTTAGCACGAAGCGATCGCTCCACACCTCTCAATTGATGAGGCGCAAAGCGGCCATGCTGCTCAGCAAAAAGACTGCAGTATGGTAACTGCTGCCTTAAGGCTTATATTGTCTTTTGTGCCCCATTCCCCCCTTCCCCCTCTCATTTTTTAGAGCCGATGTACATCTCTGAATTTCATTTATTGACTGATATTATTCTATGAACATTGAATAAAAGAAAATAGAGTATAATCTGATTGAAGATATCATATTCAGGCTAGTATATTAATCAAGAGAACAGAAATTAAACATTAACATAAAATAACAAGTAAAAAAAAAGAAGTTCGTATTAATAAAACTCATAATTATGCCACATGTGAATAATTTTCCGTATTATTTAGTCGTAGAGCAGCAACACACTACTAAACTAAGACGGAAACAATAATTGCTGTCTGCAATTGCATTTCGATAATATTCAAAGCAGAATAATCTCGATGACAAGAAAAATGAGAAAAAAAAGAAGAAAACAATTCTACATTTTTTTTGTTTTTGTTTTAAATTTAATACAAGAAAATACAATAACAACATCATCGTCATCATCCTCAACAATGTTACAATTACTAAATAAGTTTGGCTACTTTCCAACAATCAAGAGTGCCAATTAACAAATAAATAATTGCACCGGTTTTATGGAAGACAAATGGATAAAAGAAAAGAGGAAAAAAAAGACAACAAAATGGACTAGAATAAATAAATATAATTATCCATGTTTTTTTCCATATACAGCTCTCATTATTCGTAGACAACCTAGAACCATTTTTGAAAACCAATATAAATTGATAATATCAAGTATAGTACAGACAAATATAAGAACAAACCGAAAATGGCCCATATGTATCCATAATGGAGTTATTGCAACGGTGTAAACTTTCCACCAATAAATAGGCATTGCTAATATGCGAACAAAAAAGAAAACTAATGTCATCAAAATACCATTGAATACAAATGCTTTTGATGTTTTAGAAAATTTTAATGTATCAAGAAACCATCTGAAAATAAATAATTGATTATAAGAACAAAACAAAACAAAAAATAAATAAATAAATAACATAAAAGAAATTTTCTTTACCTTATATTTACTAAAGGTGTCGATAATTCAGCAAGTAATCGAAAATTAGCAAAATATGGCATAACATTAAGTGTTAATACATATGAAAAAGCATATACAGAAACAAGATGATGAGCCATACTAAATGGATCACCAATTTTTTTGTAATGTATCATACTAATTGCTGTATCTAAAAATATAAATCAAGAAACAGTAGTAGATAAAAGTCTCGGCTCTAGCGAATTTTAGTCATCATAGGTACTAGAGAGCTAAAAATTTCTGTGCACATACTACTTTAAGAATGTAGGTCAGTAGCACCATCCACACTTCGATTGCTTGAATAGAGCATCTACTGTCCTTCGGATATCAATAACTCAGTGATAGTTCAATGAATCGTGCTCAAACTTTGAGAGAAGCTTTTTCTACAGTTGGACATTGTTGCCTACAAATTTCAGAAATGAATCTTGCACTAAAGACAAATGACACATTAATGATTATAGTGTTAGTTTCGAGGACTCAGAAACATTAATATTCGAATAAATGGACTCATCTTTTCGATGAAGAAAAAGCCATAGATTGGACTTCAGTTCCATGTAAAAATATCAAGAATTAGTCATGTATCTAATAAGAAACAGCGTAAAATTTATTAGACAGCCTTTTAAAGGTTATAAAATTCAAAGCAAAAAAAAAAAGCCGGTGCTATTCATCCTAACTCTCTTTCTAATTAAGAAATCAGGGCACTGTAATGCCACTGACCTACATTTCTTGTGTAGTACACGCACACAACTTTTCAGACTTCTCGCACTTATGATGGCTAAGAGTCGCTAGAGCTGAGACTTTTGTTCACTATTGTATATTCGAAAAACTTACGATCAATAAATGAGACTAGCACATTCATATTTTAATTCGCTCTTATCTTAGATTTTGACCTCAACTATCTATATTAAAAGTTAATGGATTAGAAGAAAAAAATTAATGTGTCAAGTGTAGAGAGTTGCGGGCCCTTCCAGATAAGAAATACAAAAACAAGATATAGCTGTACGTTGAGGTTTTTTCTGAGAGTAGCAAATTAATAGCTGAAACCTTCACTTGTTCATATATACGAAGAATGTCAGGTATTGATGGAAAAAACCTCAGGTTTGAACCTGGACGGTTCAGAGTCCACAAAAATGTGAATTCGCAGCTCCCTATTCAAATATCTCTTCAAGGTTATATTGGCCTGGTGTTGCCTCTAGATTTGATGTATTCTATTTTAAAATCTTACCACTTAATAAATATCCAATGACAATTGATAAATTTGTTTTCAACAAATAACTTTTGTATCTATAAAAAAAAAAAACAAAATCATATAAATTAAACGAAAATATTTTAAAATTATTCTTACAATAATGGATTAGCTTCAAGTCCATGATCAGCAATCATCATATATATACAAATAATACCAACAGTTAATGAATTAATTGATGAATTAATTCTAAATAAATGATATTTATTATTTAATAATTTCTTCTACAAAAAGGAAAATTTTACCTCGTACTCCAATCAATTTTTTGTGCAAGAGTAAACATTTTATAATCTTTGATTAATAAATTTGATAAAATTGGATTAATAAATTTATAAAGAAAAATAAATAATGTAAAACTTGTTGCTACAACGGGTAAAAATGTTGGATCAAATTTGATATTAAGCATTTGTTCAAAATTATATGAAGAAAAATAATTTCTCGTCGTCATTGTTGTCGTAGTCATTATGTTTTTATTTTTATTTTTATTCTACTTAATTCTATTTTGCTGCATATTAGCTCTAGAAAAAAAGAATAATGCAATTTCTAGGTCATAAAAATCTTATTTTATCAATATATAAATACAACAATAAGAAAACATAGAAATTTGTACTCATTTATCTATAATATAAAATACTGATTCATAATTTTCTTTTCTTATTCTTTTGACCCTTAAAATGGACTTTATATTAGAACAAATATTTATTCAAAAATAAAAAAAACCTAGAAGCTTAAGATGATGCTTATACGAATACGACACGTGGATGATTCATAAAAATCATTATTTATATCCAATAAGTTATATAGAAGTAAACAGAGGTCGTTCGTATATTAAGAAAAATATCTCGTTTTTTTATTCACCCAATATTGTTTTGCTAATAATGATTCAATAAATATCCAATGAAATTGCTTATAAACTTTCGTGCCTTAAACTAATGAGTAAGGAAAATAACGCTATTCAGTGGAATAACTGAACTAGCAAATAATTACTCCAATTTTTGTATAGGGGCGACAGGTTACCCGCTTGAGTAGATTCCACTACTTTTCGGAATCTATTCGTGTTGTAGCGACCTAGCCCCAATGAAAAATTTTAAATGTATCTTTTTTATTATTATGCATACAAAAAAAA